TTAAAAAATGCATTAAAAACCCTAGATGAGATAAAAGACAAGTCTAAGTTAAGGTGAATCACTGGAAACTGGACTCCACTCCTAAACTTGTGTTTGCTGAACAATTTCTATGACACCCAAGGATCTTAACCTGGGGTTTAGGAGCCCTGCAAAGTTTTACCTGTGTTTGTATGCTCAATGTTCTATACAGTACAAGATCCTTGAAAAGATAATCATTTCTCTGCAGTGGACTAGTTTTTTTTTTTTGGTCCAAGAAACTTTGAATATTTTCATCACCATGTTTTCTAGTTAAAAAATTCTGAATAAGCCTATATTCTTTATCATTAACTCACATATAATGTGGCCAATATTTAATCTACATCACTTTCCCTGTCAAATCTGCTTCTCTACTTATTCTTCTATTTCTATTAATATAGCATTACCTTTCTGGTTACCCATGTTTGAAACTCCTCAGGTCATCTGTGCTCCTGCCTTACTCCAGCATTTACCAATCACAAGTCCTACAGATTCCATTTATATAATCATTCTTACAGTCTACACCTTCTCTCATTTCTAGTCATATGCCTTCTCCTGAATTATTTCAACCATCTCCTCATCTACACTTCCGGACTCCTCCCTCAACCCATTTAGACACTTGTGTTGGCAGGCAGACCATTCTACAGCAGAACTCAACATACTGCTGTCGTACTTAGAAAAACAAACAAAAAACCTATTTCCTATTGCATACATAAAATAGCACCCAAACTTTTGTGTTCACTATTTAAAAACTCTCCATGAAATAACTGAACTTACATTTCCAGGCATGGGTCTTACAATGATCTAGCCAAACGCACATGTCATTGTTATGTGCACTTGCCTCGCACCTTCTTACCTCCATACTTTCATCAATCTGTTTCTTTTATTTGAAGCATCCTTCTCTCCTAACTATAGTTGTCTCTTAGCTATAAACATTGGCTCCTTGAAGTAAATATTGATTCTTATATCTTACAACTATCACACAGTGCTTTGTACAGAGCAGGCACTCAAAAAAATGCACTAAACAATTTCAAAACTTACCTTTGAAATAAGTTGTTTGAACTCTGTAACTGTTTGATTTAAGTAAGCGCGAACAGTGACAGGAGCAGCTACAGATTCTGCCTTTAGATCAACAACATGAACTTTCACCATCACTTCTGTCATATTTGAAAAACATAACGAGGTTATTTTNGCAAGTTTACTTAACATTTCTGTGCCTCAGTCTGCGCATCTGCAAACTGCAGACAGTGTCTTCCTTACAGTCATTGTAAAGATTAAGTAAGATAACACATTCACATTTCCCTTCTTATAACAAACTGATCACAATTTTAAAAGTAAAAAGAATCACTTTTATGGGCTAAATAAGGGAAATGCAAACTAATTCTCCAAGTACATGCATTAATTGTCTCAAAAGAGACAGTATCCACAAACCCCCCACTTAGAAGGAACATAAGTCAAAATGACATTTAAGAGATATGATGGGTGTCTGATAAAATGCTTTTGAACAAATGAAGGCATTTAATAGAACATGTATCCCTTTATTTGCTATTTGTTTTTCACATCTGTCTAGGTCCCCAATAAGATATTATAAACATCCTGAAGACTGGGCCTTTACCCTAGTCTCCTGGGTATTCTCCACAAGCTGTGTGTATCACAGGAATTAAAATATTTTATTGATTATAGATTATATTTATTAACCAATAAAAATATTTATTGATTACAAGCTTGTTTAGATCCTTAATTCACCATTTACAAGTTGTATGACCTTGTGCAAGTTACTTAACATTTCTGTATCTTAGTTTCATCTATAAAATGGGAATAAATAGCACTTATATCATTAATTGATGAAGATTGAAGGAGTTAATTCTTGCAAGTACTTAGAGACAAAGTAAACACTAGATAAATGCTTATTAAATACGAAAATGACTCTGAACACAAAAAGAACCTATATATTCTT